CACCCCGAGGCGGGGCTCCAGGAAAGGGGAGGGGTGATGGGGGAGGGGGGCTTTAGAAGGGGGGGAACACCCCAGATCTCAGGGAACCCCGCCCCCTGCCCTTTCCTCTCCCCTAGAAAAGGGGGGGCCGTCTCACCCGGAGCCCCCTTGGAGACACCCCCCCTCCCAAAAGCCATGTCCATCCAGCCCTTCCCCCCAAACCTAGCACAAAACGGGGTTCACAAGCCATGGTCGGGGTCCGGGGGGCAGAAATGGATTTTCTTGGCAATAAGCGGACTCTGGGACTCCGGCCCCCTACCCCAAAATTGAAGCGCTTCCGTGAACACCCCCGTCCTCCACAGGGGGAGGGGAATAGGCGGGACCCCTCATAAGCACTTTGGTTTTACCGCCTGCAACCTCACTGTGCCCGCCCCGCACCATGCTCCTGCCCCAGGTCTAGCTGGGCCCATCGCAGGTGCAGCACTTGGAGGCATCTCTGGCACTTGGGTGGGACCAAGTAGATGCCCCTATAGACCCTTCCCTCACCTTCCTCCCCAGTCCGGGTTCCATTCTTTTCACCAGCACCCATCGCCCAAGGGGTACCGAGGGGGGCAAGGGGTGTCCGGTCCAAGCCCACCCCCGCCTCGCCTTCCGCAAAACTGTGAGCAAAAAGCAATAGAAGCCTCGCCCCCGCCCCCCGCCCCTTTCCGCAGGATTTGCAGTCTGTAGCCTCCCCCATCCCAGTCCCTAGACCTAATAGCTGTCCCCTCCCACCAGACACCACAGTACGACTTGGGCGGGGGCATGACCTCCCCCCACCCCCTGTGATTTCCGTATTGTCAGCCCTTCCAAACACTGACCCGGGAGGGGGACGGCCCCCCACTGGCCTTCAACTCTTTCTGCTTGATAATGTAGCAACCCTGACCCCCACCCATGTCTTTCCCTTTTCCCTCTCCCTGACAATAAAGTCTGGATTCGTTGCCCTCTGTTCTCCAGACTCAGACTTTCAATCTTTGCCCGCTGTTCTGGGGAGCAACGACACCGGGATATGTATCTGTATGGTGAGGGAGACTGACACACGGGAAATGGGATCAGAAGGACGGGGTTAGGGAAATGGGGGTGGGAGGAGGCAAGATCTGAGGCTTGTGCAAAGCGAGCAGGGGTTCCCCATCCCACTCACCCCCGCTTGGGCCCAGCTCAAGTGTAAACTTGGCCTTAGGGAATCATTCTGAGCCCAGGTCTCGGATTGCAGCCACGGCTGTTGCAAATTCTCTGCAACTCCACCAGGCGGCGCCAACCACATGAAAAAGGAGTCTCCCCTAGTCTAAGACACCTGCAGTGTGTCTCACGAATCTAGGGAGACAGAGCTAGACCCAGTCTCAGACAAAGGGAAGAATCAAGGTTTTGTGCCTCTGGTGGGAAACCCACGCCAGAGACACGCGAGGCATGAGAAGTGGGGGCAGGGAATGGGAATCTGAGCTCTATGCTCTGCTTGGCCCCATGTAAATAGTATCCTGGGGTTAGTCCTTCCCCTCTCTGGACCCCAATTTCCCAATCTGCAAAATAAGCAGGTTTGGGTCTCTTAAAAATTTATTGAGACTTCATGTATCCAAGACCAAAAAAACTGGGACCTGCTATTTACAGATATGCTAGAATGAATACCTTCTCATCTGGTCCCCTAAATGGTCTGTGGGACAGGAGAGCACACTCCTCTCTCACATAAAGGGGGTGAGGGGACATAGATGTCCTATTCCCAGAATCTCCAGAATTCAGTTCAACCACACACTCCCAAGAGTAGCTAGTGACTCTCTCTAGCCCTGCTGGATGACAAAAAAAGAAACAAAAAAAGACCAGACCAGCCATGGCTGGTGTGGCTCAGTTGGTTTGAGTGTCCTCCGGTACACTGAAAGGTCATGGGCTTGATTCCTGGTCAGGGCACATACCCAGGCTCAGGTTCGATCCTTGGTCTTGGTCAGTGATGGCGAACCTTTTGAGCTCGGCGTGTCAGCATTTTAAAAAACCCTAACTTTAACTCTGGTGCCGTGTCACATATAGAAATTTTTTGATATTTGCAACCACAGTAAAAACAAAGATTTATATTTTTTATATTTATTTTATATATTTAAATGCCATTTAACAAAAAAAAAATCAACCAAAAAAATGAGTTCACGTGTCACCTCTGACACGCGTGTCATAGGTTCGCCATCACTGGTCTAGGTGCTACGAAAGGAAGGCAGCGGGTCCTTGTCTCTGTCTCCGTCTCTCCCTCTCCCTTCCTCTCTCTCTGAAATCAGCAAGATCATCTCCTCAGGTGAGGACTTAAAAAAAGGCCATGGGAGGGGTGGGTATAGGGTGGAGGGGGTCAATAGGAAAAAAATGGGAGATATCTGTAATACTTTCAACAATAAAGGTAAGGATTTTTTTTAAAAAAAAGAAAAAAAGGCCAGACTAGCCCTAGCTGGTTTGGCTCAGTGGATAGAGCGTTGGCCTGCGGACTGAAGGTCCTGGGTTCGATTCCAGTCACAGAGCACATGCCTGGGTTGTGGGCTGGATCCTCAGTGTGCGGCGTGAGGGGGCAGCCAATCAATGATTCTCTGTCATCATTGATATTTCCATCTCTCTCTCTCCCCCTTCCTTTCTAAAATCAATAAAAAAAAATTTTAAAAAAAATTTTTTAAAGCCAGACCAGAACTCAGAATGGCCATGGGGTCCTCCTGAGTGTCATCTTTGCTCATTTCTCTCTTTACCCCTTTTTCAGTCTTAGAGAAGAAAAGGAGGGCGGGTGATGGCTCTGAAAGAGGAAGGAAAGGGGAATAGGGGCTTCCTGGATTTGTCAACTGTGAAGTCAGGTTGGAGCTTACTGTGGGTTCCTGGAACCCAACAAGGACTTTTGGGTTTGCTTGTTTGTGTTAGGTCTTTCTAGCTAAAAATAATCTATATAATAAAAGCCCAAACAACCATCATGGCAGAATGACCAGAACAACAGGTCGCTATGATGCACACTGACCACCAGGGGGCAGATGCTCAATGCAGGAGCTGCCCCTGGTGGTCAGTGTGCTCCCACAGGGGGAGCACGGCTCAGCCAGAAGCCGGGCTCACGGCTGGAGAGCGCAGCAGAGGTGGCAGGAGTCTCTCCTGCCTCCACGGCAGCACTAAGGAGCAGCAAACCAAGTGGTAAAGAGCCTTCTGCTAAGGAGCAGTGGCTGAGCATAAGGAGCGAGGGATCCTGGATTGTGAGAGGGATGTCCGCCAAGGGGTCCCAGACTGGGAGAGGGCGCAGGCCGGGCTGAGGGGCCCCCCCCCCCCCCGTCTGCCGA